TTTTCGAACTGTTTCTGAACTTGAACTTTTATGAAACAGGACCGAACTGGACCGAACCGAACTTTTAACATCCCTAGTTTCTGCGCACCCAGGCCGATCGGCATTTGAGTTGCCTTTAATTATCGAGGCGAGACACAGCATTAATTTTAAATTCTATAATATCTGAGAAACTTTGAAAACGTTTTTGTCTTTATGAAAAAACATATATATTCATATATATCATACCATTATGATGACCTCATCAAGGAGACCTAGTACCAGAAAGACCACTTCTTTATTTAGCAGCCAGAGGCAACATCAAGAATACGAGCAAAGTTCTGAAGCATCTGATCCAGAATTTGACGAGTATATGGATGAAGAGGCAATAGTTAAACCTGGTGATTCATATCAAAGTGAGGACGAAGAAGAGATTGATGCGGAACTCGAAGAAATGATGGAAGAAGACGATGACGAATATATCGAACTTGATTCGAGAGTGGAGGAAGGAGAGGAAGAAGTTGAACAAGTTGAGGAAGAGGAGACAGAGCAAGCCGAAGAAGAAACTGAACAAGTCGATGATATTGACGCAGAAGAAGACATAGACGAGTGCGATGATGCAACTCCTGTTGACGACGAGGATGATTTCGAGATTGATGAGGAGGAAGACGAAGATGAGGAAATTGAAGAGGAAGAGCGTAGTTATGAGAGCAAACCAACTACCACCCGACGAACGAGGGGAAGTAGAAATATTTCACAACGTGCACCTCAAAAACAAAAACGGCCTATGAGGCAACATAAAGCGTCGCCTCAACATCAGACTAGTAATTCAAGAAAAAAGTGTATGTAGAATGTAGTAATAATTTTCCTCGAATTGATTTTTGAATTGATTTTTGATTTATAGAGCCATTTAACTGAATAACAAACATCTTTCATCAGTAAGCAGGCATGTTATCAAAAAACATTAATAATATAATTATTTCTTCAATAAATAATTGTATTATTTTTTTAAAGCATGACAGAATCATCACCTTCCCACGATGCTCGTATTCTTACCAAACGACAAAGAGCTAAGTTAGATGACAATTATGATTCAGACTTGCTTCAACTTCCAATGGGTTAGTATTACGTTATATCCTAATATTCTTTAGATGCTACAAACGAGAACTTATGGATCTTAATTGAATTGTATATATTAGAACCAATGAAAAAAAAACAATTAACTGAGGAGGAAATGCTTTTAAAAAAGTCAGAAATTGCGCGAAGAAGAAAGCACCAAAGTATCCAACGTGCTGAACAAGATAAGGTACTTTATACTATTAGTGTGTACCTAACATTATTCAATGAATAATTTCTTATACACATTCATTCTATGCTAGATGGACACAATTAATCGCCTTTTAAAAAAACAAGCGTCTAAAAAACGATCAAAGGATCAGGACGAAACTGACAGTATTAACAAAGATGATAATGGTACAAATCCACAAACACCAGTTGCATTTCATTATGTTACCAACAAAGATGGTTGTACATTATCAATTCCACATGATGTTGAGATGCCAATTCAATTTTCAAAAGGACCAAAGTAAGTGTTAAAGATTACTTGTTGTTTTTTTTTTTTTCATTTACTAAACTCATTGGTTCTAAAAATCTTTCAGTTATCCACCGCCTATCCCTTTATGTTCAGTATCTGGTTGTACGCTTCCTAAGAAATACCGTTGTGTAAATACGCTCAAGTATGCGTGTTCTATGGAGCATCTTAAAAAAGTAGATACACTTGTCACACAAAAGTTTTGATAGATTGTAAATATAATCATGTAATTGTATAATATAATGATAAGAGGTAATTAAAAACAATTTTAAAAGGAAGTGATAGATAAAAATATTAGTTGTTAATCAGTAAAGTAAATGTGAAATTTTTTTTTAATTGCACACCCTCTTTTAAGGTTGGTAAAGTCCTTAGGTCCGGGACTTTAGGACCTGGTCTTTAAACCTGGTCTTTAAAGACCACAAGTCCAAATTTAAGGACCTAGGGTTCTTAGGTCTTTAAAAAGTCCTAATATACATTCTAACCTCGTTATAGTCACTCTCGATATAGTCACAACCTTGATATAATCACGCTATTTTTTTAACTCAAGCTAATATAAAACATATATACAAAATTTGACCTTTATATAGTCACAACTTTTTATAATCATCTTTTTCCAAGTTGGTGATTATATCGAGATTAGACTGTACAAATTTATAAGAAATTATAATTATTAAAATTCATTTCAACTGCAAATTTCTGCTATTGCATAATTCTGGACAGCCTAATCAATATACTATATATATATATAGTATAATTTCAATAAAGTTTTAAATGCATAATTTAAGATCAAATGTATATATTTCACTTAATATTGTTATTACAGGTAAATGTCAATATGTACATTGTGAAGGAGTAACGTGAACTAGTCGCAGCAAAAAAACGTGATCTAAGCCATAAGACTCTGGGCATTGATCGAAAAAGCGAAGGCATTTAATAAATGCCAATTCGGGTTTAGCTTGAGGCGAAGCTCCGTTGAAGAACAATAGTAGGAAACTATGGTGGGAACTAAAGTCATAGTCATGTAAATGAGTATGAATTACTCATCGTTAATCATAGATTCCCCCGATACTCTAAATAGTCATATTGCTTAGAGATTCTAACCGTAGCAGCAAAGCCCTCTGTATAAATAATCATCGATTTCATGTATGGAAAACAAGTGATGTTATAGTAACAAAGACCATCTAATGATAATTCCAGGGATCCTAGTGGCAGTAGGATCCTTGGTTCTCGGACCAAATCTTTCACACCTTTTTTCGAATAGCCTTTGATTTTTGTTGTGTCTTAGGTTGCGAGTACTACACTAGTTAAAGTCAAAAATATCAGTAAAATACCAGTATCTGATATGTGACATATATGTAACTTTTATATAACCTAAAGCTAATCTATATTTTACAATTTTTAACAAGCCAATATAAGCTAACTTTAGGTTACATTCAGTCAGACCTCTCTAAATGCATATTCCCTAAATGCATAGTCTCTCTAAATGCATGGCCTTGCATAGTCTCAACTCATATGACACTTATAGATTTTTACCTCCCTAAATGCAATACCTCTCTTAATGCAAAATTTTTTGGCCGCCCGCAGCTATGCATTTAGAGAGGTCTGACTGTATGTTACATATAAGTTATATATTCCCCGTTTACTAATTGTTCGCCCGTGATACTGCATATTAATATTTTACTAGATCTATTATCGGAGATCAATTTTCTAGTAAAATATCACTATTGCGTAATACTGTGAAATATCATACCAAAATTGTACTGCTTATTTATTAATCGGTTAATTTACTATCGCATTATTGAAATTTAAAATAAAGTGAAAAGCATCGTAATATTTATATTTCTTTAATACCTTGTCATATTAAATAGTATTATAATTAAACTATTTGAGGTATTTATAACTATAATAAAATCTATTGAAAGTAGAAATTAACATTTTGAAATTGACAGTTGTTAAATATAGGCGCCTTTTCTTGAATATTATCAGGAGATGTATAAATAGGCAAATTTTGTGATTCGAGGTTGGTAATTTGAGAATTTCTTAATGGTCGTTCATTGAGATCTTGAATTAGTTGATTATTTGGAATTTCTTGGTTAGTTACATCGCCATAAGTAGAAATAAGGTTCTGTAATGTATCCATTTTTTGTTGATCATTAGGTATTTTATATTTTCGTACTGCATTAACACTTCGATACCCTGTAATATTCATAATGACTTGTTCTTCAATATCTTTATCTTGCATTAATTGTGCAGCTGTTTTTTGTCCAGAGTGGTTTGTTAAAAGGCCATCAACTTCAATACCGGTTTTATGAATAAGATCTTTCATAAATCCAGATAAGGAATTTCTGCCGATATGTTGTTTGTGATACCAAATTCCAGTCTCTTTCCCTATTAAATTAAATATATTTAATTTTTTTATAAAAAAAACAACTTATGAACATAAATATATACATTTAGGATTTGTTTGTAAATAAAATTCCTGGTTAGCATCTAATGGTCTTTTTTCAAAATAAAGACGATAATCATAGCATGGTCCTCTAAAATTAGGTGAATCTGCTAGAATTGGTACTTTTTGTGCTGCACCACCTATAACTCCATACTGATTATTTTTTGCTTGAAATCTCTGAAAATCGATTCCACCATCATTGTGAAAATTAAATTAATCGATTTTTAAATTATAATATTCACCACCCCGACAGGCTAAAAGAAATACATTATAAAAGGCTGAATGTGATAAAATATCAGAGATATTTTGTTGAGTTAAAGCTGCAGATTCTTTATTTCGCCAAGCCTTTTATCTTGTAATTCTTTCATTTTTCCATCAAGGACTTTTAATAAATTTGGAAATTGATGACAATTACGTAAATTAATACCATGAATAATCAAATATTCTATTAAATAGCGATTGATACCATCAACAGATTGATGTACAGATAAAGCTTTATATTCAGTGTCATCTTTTTTTTCATAGTAGCAACATAGGCAGCTACTTAATTATCTAGTATAGATAACTCAGAAATAGATTTTAATTTAGTTTTATAGTTTTTGTCATGTGGATAAACTTCTATTATACTTTTTCGAAACTTTTCAAAATGCTCTAGCCAGTTTTTTGTCGCCTTTTCCATATTGTTAACACATGACTTATCTTGATAAAATGAAATTGCTTTTTCAATTTTAATATTTTTAGATGTTTTAGACTATAAACTTGAATTATTTAGAAGTTCACTAGCAGTATTGAATTGTATGGTTTTATTTGGATCCATTGTAGTTTTTAAAAAGAAGCAAAAGTATACTGATCTTTTTTTTTTTTTTTTATATATTTTTTCATTAATGTAAAAGTCTAATTTTTACTAATAGTGACATATCTGTAACATATGATTTTATCTAATCATGGGCATTAGTAACTGAGAAATATATCAGTTATTTACTGCTCAAATCACCGATAACTCTCAGGGCCCCCACGGCTCTGCCATAGAGACCCTGATAATATCTCTGATTTCGCAATAAATAACTATTACATATCAGATACTGATATTTACCAATTTTTTTGATTTCATCTTGTGCTAATTACTCCAAATCCACCCTTTTACAATATATAATGGACATAGAATCTAGGACTAAGTCTTGGACTGAACCTAAGTTAACTAAAGTCCTAAAACTGGTATTATAAGGACTGGCCCATAAGTTTATGCAGTAAAATTTGCAGGTTATAAAACCAAGTATTGGCCGATAACCTTCAATATATAACCTTTATGACTAGTCATAGATCATTTGGTTATAATAAGAGTTAATATGACTTATGCCCTTTTTTAATATAGTAAGAATCATAGTAAAAAAAAATTTTATTAGCATTTAATATGACCAATATGACCAATATGACTTATGACCAAAAGCCATAACTTAGTTTATCAGCCAACACTGATGAGACCAGAACTGGACTTTATCATCCCTACCCTTTTTACAGAAAATAGCTACATATAGGTATATATTGTATGAATATGGTCAATTTTCTGTATCATACATATCTTAAAGATATTAAAGATATTCCTCTTAAATGCGCTTCTGAGATAGTGCAGAGAAAAGATTGATTATGGCAGTTTAAACTTTGCGACTAAATAAAGCTATTCTCCAGATCTGGAGTAGATAGAATTGGTTATCAAGAGACTCTTATCTTAGTTAATAGATTTATCCAGTTAAAAATTGCATTTTTATTTTATTGTGTGAAGAGTAGCAAGAACCTACATGGACAAAACAGACCAATCAGCATTTAAAATCTTAGTTTATTTATCAGGATTTATAAACTCGTGACTTGTAATTCAGGGTATATATATAGATTTTGTACAGTACGAATATTAATTTATGCTGTACGGTATGAGTAACATAAAAGAGAAAACCTGTAAATCATTTCACTCATTATTATCATAGTGAATTCTACTCCTGAGGACTTCTCAAGTAGAATTCACTGCGATAATAATGAGTAAAATGATTTACAGATTTTCTCTTTCATGTCACTCATATATTCAGACTGTACAGTACATTATAATTCGAATATAAAAAATTATTATAACTAATTTCTTGAGTAAAAAAGATAGATGTTACACAACACATACTTATAATAAAAAATTTTTGTATTATTTAATTCAATTTAAATAAATAAGCAAAATAAGTGAAGGGTTGAAATTACAATTTCGGCTTAAATTAAGTTATGGCAAAAAAAAAATTTAAAATAGAAAATGTATATATTATGATCCTGACATAACAATTCGAGAAAGGACAAATAGAATAAGGATATCGATAATTGTATCAAAGAGCTTCAATTTAAAACTAATAGTTAGAATATATATCAGGAAGTTTTGAAGGGATTATTTTATGCTATTATATGCATTATTTAACACTAATAGTTAAATAATACAATTAATCAATGTTAAACAATGTTATATATTCTATTATTTAACACTTACTATAAATAACTTATAATGCTATATTAAACAACAATAAGCATTCAATTATTTAATAATTGCTATTAAATAACATGTAAATGCCATATTAATGTTATTTTATATTGGGAAATTTACAAATACATCAGAAAGTTTGAAAAGTGTTTGAAAAGCATTAACTAATACTAGTTGTTATTTAACACTAACAGGAATAAAAAAAATGAACCCTATACAGACTAACAGTATTAATAAACAACTTAAAAATGTATTAAACAACATATTTTATTAATTAATGCTGTTTAAAAATATGTATTACTATATTAAACAACTTATTTTATTAGCTAATGCCATTTTAAAATATATATTATTATGTTAAGCACAATATTATTTATTATAATATGTATTTTTTAATATATTTAGCAATATATAGCAAAATCTAGAACTAATACTAAATACATGCATATTTCAAATCAAATTACTTAAATCATTTTTGCAATTAATAACAAATATAAGTGTATGAAATACTTGGTGCTTATTCTTCATAATTGCTATCACTATTATGATTGTTTTCATTATTGTTAGCACTATTTAAAGATAATTCATTGTAATTTTCTTGAATCACATTTAAAGATTTTGCTTTTGACATTGCAGGAGAACTTACAGAACCTTTTTGCAAAACAGTATCCTAAAAAAAAATAAAATAAAATAAAATAAAATAAAATATGTTTAAAAAAAATTGGTAAGATTATTAATAAACAGTTTATATATATTCTCATTATTCGTTAGCTTTTGAATCCACATATCAACATAATCAATATCGATCTTAGGAGAAACATAATCTTTATCGAATATAGTTTCTAATATGGCTTGAGTCCAAACCGCATTGGCTTGAGTATGTTCATCATCAGAAACAAAAACATACTTTATAATTAAAGAGAAAAATGTCTCAAAATTCAGATCATCTGGGTCACTAGGGTTGTATAAATCATTGTATGCCTTTTTGGATTTTTTTTTCATTCTAACATTTGCGCTTTTGAGTCTTTTTTACTAAACGGTTTTATTCGATTAACACCAAAGATGCTCCATAAACCTTCTTTTACATGCCGGATATAATACCCTTTTTTGAGCTGAATTGCCACAAGCATTTGTATAAATTAATTAAATAAATAAAATACAATTAATATTTAATAATAATATATAAGCATTGCAAGAAAAACTTGCAATTCTAATATAGAATTGCAAGTTTTCCTTGAAAACTTGATTGAAGATAGTAAGTACTTCAGAATAAAGTTTTTTACTCCAAAATTTGTTAAATGACATCTCTTTGTCTTTTAATTTTTGTAGTTTTTCTGAACATTCTTTATCATTTTCCAACAATGTCTTAAGCCACTTTTTTATTTGTTCATCACTAATTTGCTCATGATTATAGAATAAATTACTTGCCAATTTTCGAGCTGTATTCTATATAAAATATAATATATAGTATATATATATAATATATAAATAAATGACAAACTATTATATATTATAAATAAATATGTATATATACTTGAAAACATATATCCTCTGTATTTTTTGAAGGCTTTTTTCTGTTGCCTTTTTTTGTTTCTAATTTATTAGTTTCAGTGAATTTTTTTAAAACCTCTCCAAGCTGTATTTGTTGCTTCTTGATTAAATATTCCAACTTTGCGTAGTGCCTAAAAAGCTAGTCAAGCTTTATTGAGTTATCTTGTATAATGCTTAGAACCTTGTTTATAATATGTGGATCAATAGTAGCTTGAGCTATTAAATAAAAATATAAAGTAATAGGTTAAAAAAAAAAAAAAAAAAAAGCATGAAAATACTATTTTACAAACTTGAAATTTCAGAAACAGCAGTCTTTCTAGTAAAAGTAGTTAATGGTATAGGTTTAATAATAACTTGCAGCTAAGTATATAAAAAAATTGTATAAAATTATATTAGATAATTTAATAAATAATAGAATACTAAAAATAATAATAAAATACCTTACTTCCTCTAGAATAATAACTTGTGACTATATAAAAGTTATATAAAATTGTTTTAGATAATTTAATAAGTGTTAAACAATAATAATAAAATAATAAATCACTTATTTCCTTTGGGATATTATCTTTTTTTTTTATTTTGTGGTGTGCCAGTTTTTGATAAAGCTGATGTAGATGATATTGATGTGAATAATGAGGCTGAAGTTGATACTGATGTAGCTATGGATGATGCTAATATGGATGATGATGTTGAAGCTAATGTGGTGATATTCTACATTCTTTAGGGCATTGCAAAGTATTAAAGTTTAAGGATGTATCCGAACTGGTTCTTTTGCCTTTTTTTTGTACATTGTATTTCTAATTTAAATGAAAAAATTATAGAAATAAAGAAAAAATTTTTCTTTATTTATATAAAAAAATCTTTGTAGGTAATATAACTAATATTAGAATTGCATAAATTAATGACCAACATAATAACTGACTCATTAACTGACATATTAACAGATCATCTTAATAATTACATCATTGATTTATTAGTACAAATAAAAACTGAATAAATAATTTAAAAATTTACTTACTACAAATACAGTAATTATCTGTTATGATATTTCATATATACAGGTTACCCCGATAATATCAACCTACGTTAATATCAATCTAAGCCACAAATCAAGTTTTTACAAATTTTTATATATCAAAATTCCCTCGTATATATCAACTTTAATATGAATTTTTATTAATATCACTATCAATATAATTTTAAACAAGCTTAAATAGGTTGATATTAACAAGGGTAACCTGTATAACTGCATTACATATTCTTATATAGCATTTCATTGTATTTTTTTGCTTTACTTGTCATTCTTTATATACCTTTCACCTTCTAAATGTATATAATCTTTTTTGCTATAAAAATATGATAAAGTTCCATATAACATAGTAGCATTGTTATCACCTTTGAGACTTATAAGCGATTATAGATTTTAAAATAATGTGCTATATAGAATAAAACTAATATATACAAAAAAAAAAAAAAATAGATTAATGTTTTATTTAATGAAATATAATCAACAAATTATTGCATACCTTAAAGTTTTTTGAAAAGATCCCAAGCTTCTTCATTTCAAATTGTTCAACAACTGTTATAATAGAATTATAATCCCTAGTATTAAATTCATCAGAATAAAATAATATAAATTTATTCTCTTTATTATGTAGGTGAAGAGCCTAAAAATCATAGAAAAAAAGGTCAACTATATTGATATTTATAAATATATCAATTATACTTAATTAATAAAAATTTATATCTTTCACCTATCTTTTCCCTAATATAATAGTTCACATTTTTGTCAACTTTAGTTCAATCAACTTTGTAAGTGTAATTATGATCTGCAAGAACAAGCTGATTTGTTAAACAATTGCTTGCGCCTGGGTATTAGCTACTAGTCATTTTTTGAAGTTTCATTATATCTTTTAATGCAAGATATCCATTCTATTGCATGAGGTATATTTGGTAAGGTTTCAGATGCACACTAGAAAAGTAGTAATAAGGATGTTGTTTTAATAGCTAATTTTAACTTATCAATATAAGTAATTTTTTCTGAATCTAAAAAATATACAAATACTGTAATTAATAATTTTTAATAATGTTTTCAATAATAAAAATTTTAACTTAAACTTTCGATATAAATTTCTTTTATATAGTTTTTTTTTATATGGCTTAATATACATAAATAGTTAAAAGATAAATAGACTAAAGTTTACTATATAGAAAATAATATATAATTTAATTGCCTTGCAAATCTAGCAAAGTAGAAACTTATTAGCAAAAAAACCTTTCGAAACTATGTAAATCAGATCTCAAATTATTAGCAATTAAATAATGTATTTGTATTAATACATATAGTTTGTTTATATCTTCTATTTTTTGGAAGCTCCTTGTAATTTTAATCTAATGCAGAGATATAAATTATAAAGATAGTACCTTGATTATGTTTAATAACATTAGATTTTATAATAATTGATATGTAATCATGTGTGTTAAATCATATTTAACTCTTAACTATTACAAATATTGTATATCTTTTTTTTTTTTTTTTTAAGAAAAAAAAATGCCTTTTCAATATCCAAATTGTATAAAATATTTTTTTCGTAGAGCTTCACTTTGAAATTATATGAAAGTTTATAATGATACTATTGAAAAACTTTTATAGGAAATAGCTGAAGAAAGAGAAAGAGAAAGTCTATTGGAAATAGGAAATAACTAATTTGAAGATGATAAAATAGAGATATATAGCCAACTTGAAGACAATGAAAGTAGAATAGAAATAGATAGCCAACTTAGAGATGATGAAAGTGGAATAGAAATAGATAAACAACTTTAAAATAATGAAGATGAAATAGATAAAGACAATGAAAGTAGAATAAGGATAGATAACCAACTTGGTGATAAAGATAGCTATAATTATCATACAGAAGACCAACAAGAAAACTAGCTTGAAGGTCAATTAGAAAGTAAGATAAAAAAAATGAGCAATCAAGTCATGGTAAATAAATAATAAGGCAAGAAATATTTAAGGCATGCAAAGTTATATAAACAATAAACAATAACAATAAACAATAACGATAAATTAATTGTTTGTATAACATCTCATGCATAACAAATAAACTTTATTTTTGATTAACATTAAATATATATATATATATATATATGTATAAAATTTAGGATCATGTATTACTAGACATAGAGCCATCTTTAGTTTTGGAGTCTTTTGATATTACTAAGCCAGTAAATAGTGAAAAAATAAGTTTTCTAAGTGATAAATATGGCATCTTTATGAAGTTGCTTATAAAATGGAATCTATCAGATATATGTGCAAGTGAAATACTTAGGTTTGCAAAAAAAATATCTAATAATAATATAGTTTTATCAACATCAGTAAAACAAGAACATAGATTTTTAGATCAAATAACAATATCGTATGCTAATTCTTACTTAGAATTTGCCAAGCTAGTTTTAGATCTTTAGATTCTCTATATAAATACCTTTAATATTTTTCAGTTCCAGAAGACTTATTGTGGATTTGTACTGTCTAAACTGGTTTGTATTTCTTCATGCAATGATACAAATACTTCTAGAAGCTTTAAATACCCAAAAGTATTAGTATAATTCAAGCAACAGATTATAAACCCAACTTAATTTGAGAGATCCATTATTATAATATGGGGGGGAGTCAATAGAAAAGGGACAAATTTTTTCTAAGTAAAAGTTTTCTTGACTTTAAGCTTAAATATCT